GAGTCTTAAGTGTTGAAACTCTTAATGCAATTTGCTCTGTGCTGTGATTCAGAAGCAAATCCGTCACTTTTCTTTGAGTGCACGTACGTGTGCACGACCAGAAAAAAAGAAGAAACGTTCTGACCTGAGTCCCCCCCACCACACCACCCCCCCGCTCCACACCTTTGCACACCTGTCGGACCTGTAACGTGTAAATAATCATGAAGGTATTTTATTTCCTCGGCCAACTTTACACTAGTCACTTTGGATAGTTGCATACTTGAAGGGGAACATGAATGTTAATAGTGTCTGCTGTTGTTCTTATTATTCTGATTATTATTGTTATTATTGCTGTTGTCTGTTAACTTTGATTTGTTAACTTGTCTGATGACACCTGTAGCACAGCAGAACTGATTTTGTACCTTTTTGTCCGGTTCACTGCACCAGTTAGAGACCTGTGAGCACACACTGCTGCCTTAGACAGATTTAGTAATAAAAAGTCTTCAAACGACTGAATCAGTTTGTTTTTTTCCCTCTGGGATAAACACGCTGTGATGGTTCCTCTTTGTCTCACATATTTCTGCCTGGTTATTCATCAAAATAATCCTGGCCACCCAATTAGCCGGCTCCCCCCCCCCCCCGGTCTGGGAGGAGCTGTGGCCGTGTGGCTGACCCGTGTTTAGACGTTCTAATAACAGCCTGCTCCCAGACAAAGCTCTATTTCCAGGCCTGTGGTGGGAGCTGCTGCCTCATTGTCACAGCGACAGGAGAGCTGCTCTTTATTGTCTGCTGTCATTAGTGGCTTTCCTCTGGCTCCTCCACAGTTATTTTTCCAGCCTGCTCCCCCCCCGTCTGCCATGTCTTCTCTCCCGGTCGCTTCTTCTCACGTCTTATGCCTTCTCAGGGCTCAGCTCCGAGGCCTTTTATGTAACGCAGTTTGCAGGAAGTCCGCCGTCTTGGCCACAGAGATGAACAAACAGACTCCACAGAGCCAGACAAACACCGTAAAAACAGACCAAACTCAGCCTGCTCTCCCTTTGTTTTTCCGGACGTGTAAATCTGATCAGAATTCCAAGAGGAAGCTTTATTTTTATGGTTATTGCACTCTAAAAATGCTCAGGACAGTTCAGACCCAGTTCAGGACCCAGTGTAGACTCAGATAAGGACCCATATTTTTGCTTAAACTTGTTTGGACTTATTTTACAAACCTATTTAACATCCACTATTTTAACATAATATTATGGATAGAGTTTAATTCAGTGTTTGCAAGATTCATTTCACTATTTTTAAATGAATGTCTATATTGCCATGCAGCAATTCCCATTTTCTTGCCTGGGATCTTCCTGTTGGTGACCTAATCAAAATGGCTGACTTGGATGTGGGCGGGTTGGACATCCATCCCTGGCTTGGACTGGGACATTTGGAGGATCCAGGCCTAGAACAGAGCAGTGAAACCTCTGGTATGCATGTAAAGGTCTGATGTGTAAACCTGCCTGTCTGGATGAATGAGAATGGTTGTTGTCCAGGAACAAAGGGGACCGGTCCCTGTGTGGGCCCGTGGTGAGAGGGGTTCAGCCCGGTAGGAGTCGGGTCAGGTGGAGGCCATTGTTCCCCTCAGGTGAGCAGAAAGGTGTCTCATAAAGGAAGTGTGCTCCCAGGATCCGCTGACAGTCCGGCTCCAGAGCTGGTCAGGTTCATAAAGAACTGATGGACATCAGCCGGGTCCAGAGGAGGATTCTGGACCCAGCTGGATTCTCCAGCTGTTGGACTCTGAGTTGGTGCTGGTTTCTCCTTCATAAAAGAGACGGAGAAACAAGGGAGACCAACGGACAGGAAAAAGATGTTAGTGTTTTCCCAGAGTCAGATGAAACCAGGTCAGGACCCAGTTCAGAACCTAGTTCAGACCCAGTTCAGACCCAGTTCAGACCAAGTTCAGGACAGTTCAGGACCAGTTCAGACCCAGTTTAGACCCAGTTCAGACCAAGTTCATGACAGTTCAGGACCAGTTCAGGACCCAGATCAGACCCAGTTCAGACCCAGTTCAGGACCTAGTTCAGACCCCCCAGATCAAACCCAGTTCAGACCCAGTTCAGGACCAAGTTCAGGCCCAGTTTAGACCCAGTTCAGACCAAGTTCAGGACCCAGTTCAGGACCCAGTTCAGACCCCCCAGAACAGGTCAGTTCAGACCAGGTCTTCCTGTGCTCCCTGGCCCTGCTCTGGCTCTGGGGGGGGGCTGGTGGCTGCTCTGGGTGGTGCAGACCAGTTCCAGACCAGTTCCAGACCAGTGCTCCTCTGTGGTACTGGACCACACACTCCAGAGAACCGGGCCGGACGGCCATGCTCACCAGTTGTTCTTGGAGCCTTTCAGGCTCAGGAAAGCTCCCCCCCCCCCCCCCATAGACACCTCTCATCTGTAAGTGTTAGGCCTCACCTTAATGCCGGGGGCTGTTATGTTGTGGTGGATCAGAGTACAGAAATCCCACTCAGATAAATCCCCAATAATGGAGCCGTCAACGTTTTAGGAGCTGCTAGAATCCGGCTGTCAGCGGCCCGAGCCTTTTCCATTTGTCTCCAGCTCCTGTGTTGGTGGAGTTTGAGCTGTCTGGGAGGTCTTTGTGGCATTTTCAAAGTAGTCGAAGTTCCTTTCTGCACACAGTAACACATTTCTGGTGGCTAAAGAAGAGCTCCGGTTGCTCTGGAAGAGCCAAGGCAAACAGCCTGTTGGCAGTTTGTGTGGAAAAGTCTCTTTATATTGGAAGATTTAAGGTGGTGAGTCCTGGAAAAAGCCCCCAGAGCTTTGTGCAGACGTTTCAAACCATCATCAAAGCACTTCTTTCAAGTCAGGGGGAATATGGGTCTTGTAATATGAGGATTTTAAGCAGGCAGTTGAGGCCTGAGGGAGTCCTGACGCAGGACACTGAGAGAACCGGGGTCTAAAGTGGGACTCAGAACAGAGGCACTTCTGTCCATTTTGC